GACAGATTTGCCATTTCAAACCCCGAAGAACCGAGTCCATCATGCGCTCAAAGGTGGCAGGCGCATTGCAAAAGTCAAAGTGCATGACTATAAACTCGTACAGACCGTCCAGTGTCTCGAAGGCTGTTTTTGGTCGATCGGCATCTGCAAGGGGGACCTGCCAATACCCTGAGCGCAAATCTAATGATGAAAAAAACTCGGCACCTTGTAAAGTATCAAGGGCATCATCAATCCTGGGTAAAGGATACACGTCTTTTCGAGTGATCTTGTTTAGGCGCCGGTAATCCACGCAGAAGCGAACAGAACCATCCTTTTTTTTAACGAGCACTACAGGTGCGGCCCATGGACTTTGTGAAGATTGAATGACGCCGCGTTGCAGCATATCGTTCACCTGTTCGGTAATAACTTGGCGTTCCGCCGCAGACACATGATATGGTCGCTGTCGTAGTGGCGCATGGGAGCCGGTATCGATGTAATGTAGAGTGGTAGAAGTGCGGCCTAGTGAAGGTTGAAGAACATCGAAAGATTCGTGGTACTGGTACAGCAGTTGGAGGAGTTCAGATCGTTCAGATGGTGACAGTCCGTCTGCGATCGCCGAATCGAACACTTTCGAAGCCTGTAGATCAGAGTGGTTAAGAGCACTGACGGCGGCGAGGTCACTTTGGGATGATTCTTGCGGCACGGTAAAAATTTGTCCGTTTTCAATGGACTGTACGCATCCAAGAGACTCGCCTTTAAACAGTTTGATGGTATGCGGAAAGGGATTGGTAAGGCAGAGAGCACTGGCTCCATTAGAAATTGAGAGGGCTGAATAAGGGAGCAGAAGTGGTTTCCGACTTAGAAAGAGGCTTGGTGGCTCAAAAAATGCTACTTCATCACGCATGCCGTCGGAGACCACAGTGAGCAAAACAGCTGTTGTCGGTGGAATGTCCATGTCCTCTTTGACAACCAGCTTGTGCGCGGCTTGATTAGTGTGGTCGTAGGGCTGGTCGAACAACGGAAGCAGTTCAAGTTCGGAACGGGCACAATCTATAATGGCAAGATTACGCGATAGGAAATCCCAGCCAAGTATGATGTCATGAGAGCACGAGGAAAGGACGATAAACTCAACAATGTAGTGGTCCTCCGCAATTGTGAGTCGGGCAGTGCAGGCGGCTATAGGTCGAACAGGTTCTCCATTTGCTGCACATAAGGACATCATATCAAGTGGCGTGGTCACCTTTCGGAGCTGGCGGCAAAGTTTGGCGTCTATAACAGACACAGCGGCACCGATATCCACAAGAGTGTATGCATGGGCACCGTCTACAAAAACTTCGACGATATTTGACGGCAAGGTGCGAGGACTTGAACATTTCAATAGCACAGTTCTTGCCCCTTGAACTGCGACGGCTAGTTTCCCTGATTTTGAGGCACTGCTCGTGGACGCATGGGTGACAAGGAGCGTCGATTGGGTGAAGGTGAGCGACGAGACGAAGTTGCCGATAGTCACGGGAAGACAAGTTTGACTGACGATCCGAACTTTCATAACCAAAAAGGGGTCGGTCTATGTAGTTGCTTCGTGGTCGGATGTCTGTGTAGGCGGGGACGGGACGACGGCAGTATCGGGAGATATGGCCAGGGCCGCCACACGCAAAACAGATCGGCTGGTTATCGCGCGTTCGCCAGGCATTTGCAGCAAGGGGCGCCGCCCACGCGGCATACGGCTGAGTCGAGGCTGTGGTAGTGAGGGGAGGAACCCATGCGACGGAAGACTGAGTAGGAGCGGTGACATGTGGCAGTCCATTGAAGGGCGAGGGCTGGTGTGGCTGCTGCCTCTTTACTGCGTCAGCATAAGTAAGAGGCGCGGCGACAACTTGCTGCTGAAAGGGTACTGGCATAGCCTCGGCAATCTGGTCCTGAAGTGCATGTCGGAGCATGGGAGCTAATGGTGTCAGTGGCGGCTCTTGCTGCTGCTGCGGGAGCTCTTGGCGCTGACAAAACGGCAGGAGGGAAAGCTGACGTGCGACCTCCTCACGCACAAAGTCTTTTATTTGTACTAGAAGGCGGGAGTGGTCAGGTACGACGTCCAGTGCAGCGAGTGGTTGGTTAGGCTGAAATGGACGACGGGTGAGAGCTCGTTGCCGTCGCAATTCATCGTAGTTCTGGCACAGAGTTACCACTTCAGACATCGTGCCAGGAGACTTCGCAAGGAGCATTTGAAATACGTCGTCATCAACACCTTTCATAATGTGCTGGATCTTGGCACTTTCGCTCATTGCGTCATCGACGCCCCTGCAGAGATCGAGTATATCTTCAATATAGGTGGTAAACGTTTCGCCAGGTTCTTGTGCCCGTGAGCGCAGGCATTGTTCGGCGCGCAACTTCCGCACGGCAAGGCGACCGAAAACCGAGGATATTGCCTGCTTGAAAGTGGCCCAGTTTTTGAACTCGGATTCGTGGTTTGTGTACCACAGTTTCGCCACATTAGCCAAGTAAAAGTTGACGGTGCTCAACTTAGCAGCGTCATCCCACCTGTTTGGTCCACTGACTTTTTCGTAGGACGACAGCCAGTCCTCGACGTCCTGGTCTTCGGCGCCAGAAAAGATCGGGGGGTCTCGCTGGTGAACCGGGCCGGGGCAAGTAGTGGCCGCGAGAGGTGCTGTCTGTCTGGCAGCGTCAACTTGCATGGTCGACGGCAGGGTGCGTGATCAGAGTTCCAGGGTGTAGGTGATGTAGTTACCCAGCACCTCCACCAAATGTAAAGGGGGTTTGTTGAAAGACTGAGCAAGCGGGTGGTAGCTCTAACGGAATGCAGGCTGACCCAAATGACGGTACTTGATCGCCGATCTCGTGCCTTTTCCTTGTGTTGATGATAGCTGACCTAATGGTATCAACGTCTTTCTTATTCACTACACTATTGATGATTTGTCGAGCTCCATTCTGTTTCAAAACAGGCCTTCGATGAAGCAGCCCTTCTCAGTTCGCCTGAACGGTCTAGCTGAGGAAACTGGAGTGTCACTTGCACATAGTTTAACGGCTCCTGTAGCATACCCGCCACCGTGGCAGTGGCAGACTATAGACTGCGATGTGTCTTTTCTAGAAGTTACAAAACATGGGCCTATTGTCCATATCGAACATATTTCCTGGAACTTCAACACAAATACACACGTCCTGAGTTCTTTACAGATGCCTCCAAGTCTAACTCCTCTGTGTCCTACGCTGCTGTCGGCCCATCCTTTTCAGATGCTGGCCCTCTACATCCAGGCACAAGTATCTTCACAGCGGAAGCTTACGCGATACTTGTGGCAGCTAAACACATCAAACAATTACAAATACAAAAAGCAGTAATTTATACAGACTCCCTCAGTGTGGTAACGGCTCTGCACAGTCTTAAAAAAACAAAAAAACCCGGTCCTTGTCTCACTTTACTCCATTTTGTGCACACACTACACACTCAAACAACATAACATATTGTAGTGTGCTGGGTTCCAGGGCACCGTGAGATCCACGGCAACGTGAGGGTGGATCAGCTCGCTGCATCCGTCCACGAAAGCACTGCCCCTGCACCCATATTAATTCCGGCCCTGGATCTTAAGCCGTCTCTCAAACGAAACCTCAGGGACTACTGGCAGAGCAAGTGGGATACACACACACAAAATAAACTACACATTATTAAGCCACACCTTGGTCATTGGCTGCCAGTATCAAAATCGCGTCATACAGAGGTAATACTAACGAGACTCAGGATAGGACACACATACACGACACACACATATCTTTTGTCCGGTGGCGATCCACCATTGTGTGACAGATGTGGTGAAGCATTAACAGCCCTTCACATGTTAATCCAGGGCAAACACTTAGAAACTTTAAGAAAACAACATTTTCCATTACTCTACCGACAACATATACCTTTACGCCCTGCAATGTTCGTCGGTAGGGAACCGCTTTTTAGTCATAAATCATTGTTAGCGTTTTTAAAAGAAATCCATAATTTTCATATCATATACCCGGGCATTCCGTAGCATGACCTCTCCAGAGAGGTTTTGCTGCGGTGGCTACGCAAGAAAGCACTTGCCTCACGGCCCTTAGACGCAAGGGGATGAACGAGTGAAGTACTTGTGCTAATGTCATACATGTCCACCATCGTTTTTCATTATCACCAACTTTTGTCACCTATTCACACCACACACACCTTTCACGGCATGGTCATGATTTTATTACTTGTATGTTCTTACCCGCCTTACCGCGAGGAATTTTATGGCCCTTATACAGCCGCTTATCACAATCATTGTCCATATTTTTACTAAGATGAACTGGCGCTCTTTGGCCGTGAAATGGCCCTTGCGCCACAAAACATCAAACATCATCATCCATTGCCAGACGTCCTGTGTACTGCCAAGCACACTGGGTGATGGCCTCAGAAATTGTGACCAACTGGTCGGCATGCGATCTCGTAGGTCTAGACTGGGCGAAGCTCAAATTGTTGAGTGCGCTCATGTGATCGCCAGCGATGCCAGTGAGTCTTATAATTCAGGAGGCATGGCTCGGGTAAAAAGGAGGCTATGATGGGATTGTCTGTAGCGGCCTTGATAAATGGCATGTTGCTTGATTTCTGGTGCCAACAGTTTGATGATGCTCTAGCCTAAACGTTGACAAAACTTGAAAAAGTCATTTCAGGGTTCCCTTAAGGTAGGAGTGTCAAAAACATATGCAATGCATTCTCAGACACCCAGTACTCTCAAGAGTCTCAACACTATAGTACTCTTCAATATAGCAACAATCCAAAAACATTCAAAATTGGTTTCAGTACTTCTTTAACCAACAAAGCTCGGCTACGTGGGTACATACTTGCACTAGTTGAGCATCAGTAGCTCTGGGAATTTTCACCGCATTTAAGCTTCGTCAAAGTATACCACTCTTCCTCACAAGTCATCATGCATTCAATGCCTGATTGCTAGGATTTTAAGAACAGCAGCACACAAGCAAACAACCTGAGCAGCTCACGCCTTGTCGTGCAGACTTACCAGGAGCAAATGGAGTCAAGTGCATCGGAGATCTTAGACATCATTGAGCCCCTTCGCTATGCAGCCAAGGGAGAAGCCGAGAAGCTGGGACACACGGTCAGTATGCGATTTTCTTGTGCCATAAGCTCAGTGTTTTGTGCTGTATTGAGGTTTGTCATGTATTCATGTTTGCCTATGCACATGTAACATCATTATCATCAAATGTTCGTACAGTATCTGTGAACCTCACTGTGCAATACTATCCTTCTGGGTGATGTGCCAGCAGTAGTGCAGTTGTGTCCTCGAAACTCTGCCCACAGGTGAACCAGGCAGTTGGCTACCTGGGCCCTCTGGTGCAGAATGTCATAGCGGGGGCATCACATACTCTTCACTCAAAGCGCCAGATGGCATTGCTCGACCAGACCAAGACTGTGGCTGAAGGCATGTTGCAACTGGTGTATGCATCCAAGCAGGCTGCCGGTAATCCAAAGGTCAGTCATGCCGTAAGGTCCGAGAGAAAGTGGTAGGTGAAAAAGCTTGAACAGCTGGTGTAGGTAGGCACTTTAATTTTGGAGTCTGCTTCTGAATAACTTCTAGCTGGGTGAGTTGCTTCATAACTAAAGGTAAACTGCTGTGCGCAAATGAAGACACAGAAAAGATTGATGGGCCAGCAGTAGTGTTGTTGTCTTTATTTGCACACACCAGTTTACCTTGTGTTATGAACAAGCAGTATTTGTAGTTTTGAATTTATGGGAGCCTCTTCTTGTCAACTAAACATGTTGCCAACATCAATTATGCCATTCATATTTTCGCTGCCCTCTCTTGGTCACATAATATTGGGTTATAGTGGCTTTGTACAGCTGGCGCTGGCATGCCTTTTTATAATTGTGCTGCTGCGTCCTCATGTTGGGCTTTATAGTGGGCAGCTGATGTGGCTGCCGAATTTATATATGCTATATGACCTCTTTTCTATTCCACACTGTCTGATCGCCCTCCCCCTAAGATGGGGCTCACCGAAGCAACACTAAATGTCCTCCTAAAGTCAAAAGAAATTTTCCCGGTCTTTCATGTGATTCACTGTGAAACACAAGAAAAGAACACGAGAACAATCTCTCCGCTTGTCGTTTAGAAATGCCTCGCCAATACCCTTGGTCCAGGTTATCAGGCTACACGTTGTTGCGACCGGGGTTTGTGGCACTGGAGATCCGGGATCAAGATGTCGGGGCAGGAGGAGGTAGAACTTCGTAGAAAGGGTTTATTTACATAATTTACATGGCACAGGCTCTCTGACCCGAAGCTCTACATTGAAAAAGGCTGTCTCTTGAACAGGCTCTGTGAACCACGCTAAGCTGCGAGGGCTGATTAAATACAGTCTTATCACCCCAGATCCCAAGAAGGGGGATAGGTCCATACCGCACTGTTCAATAACATGTCCCGCAGCAGACATGAGTGTCATTATGCCGGCACCGCCCCCAACAAACACACATACACAAACCAAACACGTGTATGGTCCCGGCCATGCTGCCTCCTTCGGCTAATCTTGCTTGAGCAGAGTGAAATGAGTCTGTAATCTCGCCGCTCGGGCTGACCACCCATGCTTTGTCGAAGGGCTGTCGCGGTCTAGGCACCTCCAAGGGGTTATGCGTGGACATCTGGTGCTGATTTGAGCATCGGCGGCTCCTCAGTCAGAGACGCACAGCGTGATGGCCCGACGTCCGTAATCGGCGGAAGCTCAGCATTGTGGCTTTTACCGAGGCACAAAGACGCCTTGTGTCACATCTCTGCTCAGACCCGAAGGACAGCAGTGCTCTGTAGAGTAATTTCGGCCACGCAGCGCCCAGCACGTGGAAACAACCGGGCGTCTTGGCGCTGCTCCTTATCTCCACAAAATAAGCTGGCTGCCTTTCTTCTCTTCTGGTGGCCGCGGCAAAAGGGTGACCCGCCAAACGCAACAGCTCGTCCACCGGCGGGAAACTGGCGACCTGAGGGTGTCCAGCCGTACAGGTTGCCCGAAGCGTCGTTGTTTGGTGGCGTCTTCGAGGCTACTGCAAATGACGCAATACGGCACTCTTCAATCATCCATGGGCCTTTCTTCCCTGGGATTACAACGACATACACACAACCACAGACACAGGAGAGCACCCTGCCCGCACTTGAGACCCATTGTGTCCAAAAATATTCTAAAACCAACCTTCCTTAAGTATTATAATCAAACACAAAGCAGCAATTGAAGCGTTTCTCTGAGCTTTTCCTCAAGATCCCAATTCGAACTCGAGAAAAATCTGCCCTCAAACTGCTTTTAAGAAAATAAACACCCTATCGATGCGCTCTCCGTGGCATACCTCTGTGCCAGCATAAGTAATCCGCTGTAACCCACCAGACCTCATACTTCCAAAATAAAGCCTTTTGGTTCACGCTGTTTTTTAGTCTCCAAACTTTTGTGCCGCCGAAGCTAGTCGTCAGTTTCCTTTTAGCCGACGAAGCGACAACTGTCATGCTGCACCTGTATCAGGAACATCCACACTACACGCCCGGAAACGCACGTTATAGTGATCCTGCGTGGATTAACTAATTATGACTTGCGGTTACCGTCATCATAGAAGCTCCATATTAATTCCTGAACCAACAAACTCACTGCTTTCTTTACGTCCACACCAGACACACGCGAACAAAACAAAAACTAACAAAAAAACTATTGCATGAATCCTGAAAACTTGCAAAGAATATTCTTGCGTCTCCGTGCTCGCTCAGAATCCGTTTCTAATGTCACTCTTACTCGGCAAACGCTCCTAGGCGTGTTATTACACAACTGCACAGGGCTTACCTTTAAAACCAAAACATACAAAGCTTAAGAAATAAACAAAACTTACCTCTTGTTATCTAAACACTAGCTCCTAGCCGAAATTTTTACAAGACCATGTTTACAAAACCAAAACTAAAATAAAGTCAAAACAAAAGTTCAAACCAAAACTATGAAATCTGCGAGCGACCAACTCTCAAAAGCTAAGGGCTGTTCGCTCGTTTTTCAGTCGTACGCGTGGTGGTCACACTCTCTGGGCCTTTCTTAACAAATGGGGACTACAACAATTGCAAAAGCAAGTCGCTTCGATTCCGAACCCCACCAAGCCTTTCATTGGTGCACAGAGTCCTTCCCCTCGTTCGGCTGCGTTTCGAGGACCACTGACTTTGTACTCCCGCGCCCCATCAAACCTGCTGTGGATGGAACGACGAGAAGTCGACTGCCCCCTTCCTACTGTCTGCATTTTGGCCCAACGCGCCCTTCTTTTTCTCCTTGTCCGGCAGCTCGAACACATGCATACCAACTTTGGCGTGGATGACAAAGACCTAATTCTGCTTACTATGCCCCTTCCTTTTGTTTGCATAATCGCCCAGCGCACTTTTCTTTTCCTTTTGGTATGGCGGCTCGGACACACGCAAAGCAACTCTGGCGCCGATGACAAACTTCTTCCGTCTACGCTTCTTCTTAAGGGGTCTCTCTGAGCCTGCTGCCCACGTCTCTTGCTCCCCAGCACTCTCGCTGGTATCGTTTGCTGTCTTGCCCGCGCAGTCTAAGTGATTTGTGCACAAATCATCTTCTTTACTCTCGAGACTGGCGGACAGCTTAACACGTCTCGTAATACCGTATTTACTCGCATAGTCCTCGCACTTTCTTTGGCGGAAAACCGATGCAAAGTTGGGGGGTGCGAGAATTACACGGGGAAAACTTTCCACGAAAACGTACAGAGAGAAAAAGAAAACGAAGTGGCCGCAAATCGGGATTCTCACACCAGACACTAACAGCAAGCTTTGAAAGTACTAAATAAAACTTATCTTAACGATAAAAGCACAGGTTCAACACAAGGCAAGATTTATTTGAGACACAAAAAGTGCGAGCCAATAGTCGGGAATGCGTGACGCACCATACACAAAGCTTGTGGGCGTTGCGGGCGTAGCGGTAGCGTTCCTCGCTCAATGGAAGCACTCAAAAGGTAAGCGTAGGACGTCAGTATTGGGCAGATGACCATTTAACAGAATCGTCCGCAGTTTCCTTCTGAAGAAATAAAGTTTACCATCAATTTCATTTTGGTACGCACATGACAGGCCCAACTCGTCTTGGTGGCTTTCAGCTGCCGTCACCAGTAGCGAACACAAAACTCGTAGACTCAGAAGGGCCTTCCGGCAGCCCTGTTACCGTTGTTTAGTGCATGATCTAACACTTTCGACTTGAAATCAGCCGTGTAGCATCAGTATCGCATCATAACGTGGCAAGATTACCAACACAAGGTATAAAACGCGCAACGCACACTTGCCTGTTTGGCTTGGCTTGGATTGGATTTTTGTGCGATAATAGTACGCTTGATGCTTAAGAGATGGCGCCAGACGGCGCATGCTATCATCATCAGTGGTTGTAACAAGCAGACGACATTATTGCGGCAGTTTCGGGGGTGCGATAATTACTCGAGGAAAAAAAGAAATCGCATTTTTGTTGTGCGATGTGAGGGTGCGAGAATTATGCGAGTGCGAGGATTACGCGAGTAAATACGGTATTGCAGCCGTTTTCTTCCGAAGAAGCTAGTTCGCACTAAGGGGAGCTGCTTACAACTGCATGGTACTCAGCGATATCTGCTATCGATCCAGCTCCTGAATTCACCCCGGAGTACCTGGTTAGCGTGTCGAAATCCTCTTGGACACCGCATGCAGGATCCACCGTGGCGATAATCTCTCATGAATCCAGCTCACATGCCTGGGAGCTCTCCACAAGCACACTCTGCTGGCCTAATGCTGGTGTTCTTTCCTAGCGCGTCGAAATCTCCTTGGACTCCGCAAGCAAGATCTGACATCGGTACACCCTCACTTTGTGTCTGTGCCAGGTAGTCTATAACTATCTTAGCTGTTTCGCTAGAATTCCCCTGACACAGCATCTCGCTGCATTTATACTCCCCTTCGTCGATCTCTTTTCTAAGCGCAGCTTCTTTTGCAGCTGTCAATCTCGGTTCATTTGTGAACCTACCGCTACCCTCGTAGGTGCTAGCTTTTTCTGCGGCTCCGATTCGCACCGCACTCAAATGTTCCTCGCACTTCTCGTGTGCTACCTGCACTGAATGACCACTCCTCTGCTTCGCATCTAACCTGCGTTCTAGTTTTTCACACTCGCGTTTGAACCGAAGAACAGCGGTGCTCCGTAGAGCGATTTCGCCC